CCTGGCAGGCGAGAAGATGTTCCAGATCGACAGCGGGCGGAACGCGCCCCTGCACTCGCCGCCCTCGGAACACTACACCATCATCTTCAACACCTTCGTCATGATGCAGCTCTTCAACGAGATCAACGCGCGCAAGATCCACGGCGAGCGCAACGTCTTCGACGGCATCTTCCGGAACCCCATCTTCTGCACCATCGTGCTGGGCACCTTCGCCATCCAGGTAGGGGGCGCCCACCCTCCCCGGGGCCGCCCGCCTGCACCTGCGGCCCGAGACCCGAGACCCGCGCGCCCTGATGTCTGTCTCTCTCCCTCCCCGCGCCCCCTCCGCCCCCAGATCGTGATTGTGCAGTTTGGGGGGAAGCCCTTCAGCTGCTCCCCGCTGCAGCTGGACCAGTGGATGTGGTGCATATTCATCGGGCTGGGAGAGCTCGTCTGGGGCCAGGTGAGTCCGGGAGGGTGGGCCGCAGGGGAGGGAAGGAGCACTGGAGGGGAGACCTGGAGCCCCAGGCTCGGGCCAGCTCTGCCATGGCCTGACCCAGCGAGGCCCTGCCCCACCCCCGCCCGGGCATCTGAACACAGGGGCTAAGCCCAGATCCCCAGTGCTGACCATCTGGGTGCCCCCACGATGCTTTCCCCTCTCTACCCATGTGCCGCTGGCCACGTCATTTAACCGAAATTCATGCAAAAGGCAGTTTTGTATTACTGATGTCGTGAGAAGCTAGCAAAGACCAGCGTGCCCCATGCCGTTGGCTCTAGCTGGAGGCCGCGGCCGGCAGGCCCGACCCGAGGCCAGCGTGTCCTCTGAGGGGCGGCTGCAGGGCGCCCAGAGGCCCGGCCCTGTGGCACAGGCCTGTGCTGCTGTGTCCGTGGCCCCTGGAGACCTCCTCCACTCTGGGGGCTCCTGGGCCGGGCTCTGGGGGCCGGCGCCCTGTCCCCGGAGCACACTGGCCCCACGTCCCTTCCCCACTGTGCCCAAGTCTGTGTGCCCTGGCCTGCGGCTCAAGAGCTGCGCCGGGCCGACGTGGCACCTGTGTGGGGCCCGGAGCCCGGCTGGGCCCAAGCGGCTTGGCCTCAAGGTGTGGGCGGCCTGGGGGGAGCCCCACTGCCCGAGACGCTGGTGCCAACTTCAAGCAGTTCCAGGGAGAGTGGAAGTTCGGTGGCAGAAAATAGCCACGAGATAGAGATCCACTACCAGAGGTGTCTTCTTCCCGCGCGGGGCCGCACAGGAGAGCGTTAAACCGGCCGCCTCGTTCCATGAGCACCCTCGAGGCCAGGTGCTGGACCCCGGGCTCACCTCCCCAGGGAGCTGCCAGCGTCTGGGGGGCCAACCCCAGCTGCAGGACAATGCCAGTGGGCAGTGCTGAGCTTCAACACCCAGGGGGCCCCTGGGCTGTGCTCAGGTCCCCTCAGGAGGGCGAAGCAGCCCCTGACCTCTTTCCCCAGAGGGCTCCAGTTCCCACCCAAGCCCCAGGCTTGGGGCCACAGGGCCGAGTGACCTCAGGAGTCCAGCCACGGGCTGGCGTGCAGAAACGTGGACGTGCCATCTCACTCAGACTCGGGGCGACCCCCGCCGTGCAGATGGGCGAGCCAGACTCCGGCGAAGGGCTCGCCCGGGTCACCTAGCAGTTAGGTCAGGGGCTCCGGACTCACCTCCGCCCACTCTCTGGACAAATGAGCGGATTCAGAACCCGATTCCCACGCTTTGAGAGTGAGCAGGGTAACAGGTAAAGGGCGTCAAGGAGGGAGCAGGAGGCCCACCAGGCGGCCAGGCGGGGGAGGCCGCCCTGACGGCTGGGTCCCCTGCAGGTCATCGCCACCATCCCGACCAGCAGGCTCAAGTTCCTCAAGGAGGCGGGCAGGCTCACGCAGAAGGAGGAGATCCCAGAGGAGGAACTCAACGAGGACGTGGAGGAGATCGACCACGCCGAGCGCGAGCTGCGCCGGGGCCAGATCCTGTGGTTCCGGGGCCTGAACCGGATCCAGACCCAGGTACCGCGGCTCCTGGGGCTGGGCCACGCCTGGCCGGGGCGGCGGGG